TTTCTGGATGTTGGGCTCAGAAATATTTTCTATTTTTTCCTTCTTAGGTTGTTCTCCTATGGTTAATCTTCTGTGTCATCTCACTCTTTTTGATGTCTCCCCATTCCAAGTCATGGTGACGGGAAAATACAATTTGAATAGTTGGCCTTTTAAAGGTGCCTTAGATGTGGCAGCTTTTGGCTTTTGTATAATCCGTTTTAGAAGATTACTTCATGTCTAATTTCACTGAACTGCAAATGCTTTTTCTTCAGTCTTGATGTCCTAAATTTTGGGATCTGCTTTGTTTTAAAGTGCAGCTTTCTTGGCTTAAAAATAGATTTGAATATGTTGACGCAGCTGGGTCTTGGCCTAATGATAGTCTTAAGATTGTAACGAGCTTCACGTCAGTAGTTTTGGAAAAGAGCTATTTCAGGATGCAGAGTATAGGACTTTTCATTCCATCCAGGAAGAGCACACACCAACTGCTGAAACTTCCTTAGCCCTACGAAGGGTTTTTGAACCCGAAAGCTTGCTTAATAAATATTTTCCAACTATTTGGGTTGGTCTAATAAAAGATATCAAATTCACCCAAGGAGCCTTGTCTGAGTATAGGATGATGTGCTCACAATTATTTTTTCCAGTTTGAGAAGCCAGGATGTCAAGTTTTGCACAAGCTCTAGAATGGTCGTTGTTTCCATTTTCAGCCTTGGACATGGTGAATTGCTGTAAGCCATTCGACAAATGACAGATTCAGGAACTGCTCTGATTTAGATTCTCCACTGAGGTAAAGAGCTGAGGAGTCTCCTAGCAAGTGGAAGACAAAGACATCTTTCAGCAGACTTAGTGACATTTGCCTCTGACTCTAAATTGTTGATCCTTACAGAAGTTATTCCGTTTATTCCGTAATCAAAGTGCCATGCCAAAAACTGAACTGAGCAAGAAACCTGTTTGTAAAACTCAGTCTATGATCATTTTTCTTTCTCAGCACTCTGGATTTTTAAAAGTTTGTGGCCTTATCTACCCAGACTTTTCATCAGTAGTTCACTTACATAGATGCAAGATATAAAGATTATACTCATGCATTACAGGCCTAGAAGCAAACAAATTAAGTTAAAATTCAGGTATAACATGATTTGATTCTGTCCTCACTAGCTAGCCAAGCTCTTATCATTTTATTTTCTTCTCCTGTGCTAATTTTTTCATGGTTTTGATTAATCTCTATTGAATTAAAAGAATAAAACTTTCCAAAGAGAAACAAGTTTTTTATTCAGTAAAAAGTCTAGGACCCAGGGCAGATTTTAACTTTTTTCCCTGCATTTTAAATCTATCTTTTTCCCAAAAACGTGTCTATGAGAATCTTGTGGAGAACTCGGTGTCCCATGAGCTATGAAATGGAGTATGTTTAAACAAGACTGAGCAGCCATTGTACCAGTGGAGCATTGATTGGACCCAGGCACCTGGGCCTTGGGTTTCCTCAGTCTGAGCCTAAAGATCAAATTAGTGAAAAATCAGTTTGAGGAGAAGAAAAAAAGATGGCATAGGAGATTAGTTGGACACCTGCCCTGAAAACTGTCCTTATCTTCCCTCCACAGCCCTACCTCTTCTTTAAGGGACTGTTTTCATTTGCACGACTGAGTTAAACAGAAGTCATTATTATACATAGTATTTAACTAGGGCTGTTTCTCTACTGCTTTCCCAGAATTGAGGAACAGTGTTTTTACCTGAAATCTTGTCTAACATCTCTCTCAAGTATATAGTTGGTCCAATAAACTGTATTACTAAACAAATCTTGCTTATCAAAGGAATCTTTGCTTAATTTTCTGAGACTGAGCAGAAATGGAAGGGGGAGGAATTAAATTATGCACTTCAAGAAAAGAGGGACTCTCTACTTTGACTCTCTTGCCCTCACCAATTCCCTATCAAGAATATTTATTAGGAAGAAAAACTCTTAACAGGCTGAAAACAGGTGACGAATCTATTTGCCCACATGCATAACAGATCAGGGACTTGCAAGGCAAGCCATACAAGGAAGAGCTGAGGGACCTGGGCCTCTTTAGCCTAGCCTAAAGAAGAGAAGGTTGAGAGGGGACTTGATAGTGACTTACCGCTATATCAGAGTGCATCAGGAGCTTGGTGAACAACTGTTCACTAGGGCACCCCTGGGGAAGACCAGGACTAATGGATACAAACTCCTGGATGGCTGCTTCAGGCTTAATACCAGGAAAAACTCCTTCACAGTCAGGGTGCCCAGACTGTGGAATAAACTCCCTCCAGAGGTGGTGCAGGCACCTGTTCTGGAGGTTTTCAGGAGGGGACTAGACAGTCACCTAACCTGAGTTGTCTTCCTGCCTAGAGAGGGGGGGCTGGACCTGATGATCTGCAAGGTCCCTTCCAGCCCTTATGAATACAGAAACTTCCAGTACATCATGAAGTTGCTTCCTGGATAATTGTCATTAAACCCTTTTTAGTAAATAAAATAATAATGTATGAAATTTGCTGTTTTGTTACAAGAGAAATAGAATATGTAACATTTCCATGGAGAGAAAAACCGGGCTTTTAAGTTTTTTGTGATATAATGATTTTCACTTCAAACCTAGACATAGAACTGTTTAAATATCCATGGAACTAATGTTTTAAAAGTATTTATGTGATGATTTTTTTCTGGTTTAGCATTGCATTACTGCAAATAAAATGTAACCAGGACAAACAAATGACCTTTCAAATTTCCTCTTGTATCAACACCTCATGATGTTTCCTTTTCAGAAGCTCTAGAATGAACACACTTTCGAGATCTGCTACTCCATTTTTCACCACAGTATACGTTAAAAAAAATTCAAGTCTTTCCAAAGCTAGCTGTTCATATATAGAAATCATATTTCTTTAATGGGTTTCTTAATACATTATATTGGCTGGACCATGCAAGATTTAGAATAATCAATACTGAGCATCCACGTGCATGCCTTTCACATATTTCCCAGGCCATCACAGCTACAATCTCTGCAACACTACCACAAGTACAAAAGCATTCTTGATCCTACTCTCTTACCTCTGGAAGCCAGAGCAGCAGGGTCTGCACAGAGAAAGCTTCATTGCCTTCCTTCAGGGACTCAGCCCTGAGGTAGGTAACAAAACCACTGCAACCTATTGCAAGAGGTATGATGATGCACATAGTTACATTACAAATTAAAAACATATCCGGGGATTTAAAAGAACACAGCTATAATGGTTTAATGTCACTGGAAGACGGTGAATCACGATGGGCTTATCTCCTCTGAATTAGTAGCTCGAGTTATTTGTACTCGTATGAATTCTGTACTCATATTAATGCTCATATTAATTCTTCTTCACAAGTTAGCAGGTCAGCACTTCATGAGTGAAAATCCGTTTCTGAAGAGCTTTTGAATTAGCAGCTTAGAGTAACCAAGACCCCCTTCGTTACTACATGACCCGATTCACAGCCTCTGATTAAAAAATTCCTAGACCTTAAACGCTGGAGGATGAGTGGGAGAGGAACAGGGGGAAAAAGTCATACCTTGTTGACTCCCTTTCAGCATTTACTATCTGCCACTGTGTGATATAGGATACTGGGCAAATCAGAGCTATGGTATGACCCAGTGAATGGCAGTTCTTATGTTCAGTATAGCTGGAGTTTTAGGTACAACTTACCTTGAGCAGAATGTGTGTGTGTGGGGGGGGGGGTACAGTAGACTACTTAAGGTCAGTAGTTGAGTTGCATCTTGAGCTAATACTGCAGAGAAGGCAAGCCAAATGACAAATTCAGTTAATAGTCACTAGCATTAGTGTAGTACACTGTAACTCCCATCCTGAATGGGGATGAGCAATGTAAACAACAAAGAGTGTTTAAATGACTAGGTGGGGATACAAGGATTTGGGAAAGATTTCTGAACTATTTTCTTCTGTTCAAACCGTAAACATTTTTGGGATCACTCACTGACCACTATTAATAATGTCTTTTCCCCCCAAAATTAAAATCCTTAGGGAAAAACAAACACTATATGCTACTATGAACAAATTGAGGTAAAAAGCAAACATTTGTGAATCTTAAATAAACTTAGACATAATATTATAATTTTTTAATAATCTTTTTATATAGCAGCAAGATGAGAAATCACAAAGAGACTGATCCCAATTTTCAGAGTTACTCTCTTGCTAAATACAATGCTTTTGATTCATTGTGTGAAAATCAGGTTTTGGGTTATCCACAAATTAGCAGGAATTTCTGTTTTCAGAAATAAAGAAATTAAGTGAATTGACAGATATGCCTTTCTTCACTGCCCTTCCTCTTGCCCTTCCTTTTAGCTACTTGCTCTTTGGTATATAAATTGCTTCAAACAATGTAATAACATGGTAACTTGAGATACAAATATTACACAGGATAACGGGAGGTTTTTACCCTCTGAAAGTACACAGAGGCAAGGTGCATGGTATTAATAGTTTGTTCAGGTTTCTTCCTTGTGCTTTGGGGAAAACAGGTTTTGCTCTTCATCTGTTTTTGTTGCTCTTTGAAAAACATGGACTTTGACTTTGATTGTTTTGGATCAGCCATCTTTGATACCAAGCCAGTCAGAATCAAATTGAAAAAAATTAAAAATATTTTAATAAAATGACTGATATGTTAATAATAGATGCTCACTTTGCTGATTGTATGTATTTAATTCAGTCTCTTAAACCATAGAATATAGTGTGTGCATACATAGTTGGTACTAAATTCATATTCTGTGCATATGTAGCATATTAAGATGGAGAAAAGAATAAAATCCAAGGTAGGTTCACATATTTTCTGTCATCCTCTGTAGATCAAGATGCCAATGCTTATGCATGAAATATATTTTGTCATCAGAAAATTACTGCTTGCAGTCAAATTGGAACATATTTCATGGAAATATTGCATGTAAATAAACAAAATCTCTGCTAATTCTTGTATCATAACATTGTGAATTTTCTCCTGATTTCATGTTTTCACATAAATATACTTCATGATTATTTTTATTATTTTTTAGATTTCCACATAGAAGAGGCAGTAGACTGGCCTGGAATAAACATTAAACTAGGCCAGGTTTCTGGGTTGGCCCTGGACCCTGAATACAACCTAGTTATCTTCCATAGGGGTGATCATGTATGGGATGAAAAGTAAGTGGATAATTATATTATGCTGTGTGCTGAATGTATTTTCTTTTAGATAGGGTATTGACTCTGATTATGAGGGTGGCCAAACATTGGACAAGGCTACCTAGAAAAGTTGTGGAATCTCCACCCCTGGAAATTTTGAAAAGCGGGTTACATGGATATTTGGCAGGGATGGTTTAGTCAGGGATGATCCTACCTTGAGTAGAGGGGTGGACTAGGTGACTTCAGCAGCCTTACTTTCCTATGCTCATAAATAATTTAGCCACTTTTTGTTTTTAAAGGCTGAAGCAAATCTACCTAGGCTTAGATTTCCTTGCAGAGGAGGAGGTAGCTGGTTAATAGCAGATATGAGACTCTGGAATTACTAGATTTTTACAATAAAAGAAAGTTAGTGCATAACATGGTACTTTCTCTAAAAAAGTTTTGATCTTCTAATTTAATAAAATGTCAATATCTTTCAATATTGTCCCATAAAACTTCAAACTCCTACAATTACCACTTTTGCACTATTTAGTGTTTGAGAGGCAGAGAGAATTAAGTTCCAAAATAAGAACTTTTTATAGAGAGATATTTCCATCTGATATGTTGTAACAAGTACTTTTCCTTCAAGTGATTGTCCGCATACACATTCTCACTAGTAGGCGAGTCTCATCCTGAATTTTGACTGGAGACATTTTTGCCATAGCAGTACCTTAAGTGTGATCTCATTCTCTAGCCCTACCCCTATACCAAGGAGAAAGTAGGTAGTGTACCGTTGGCCTCTGTAGTTGAGAGGAAACTCAGAAGCAGGAAATACATACTATCCTTTATCCACCTGGCCGTGGGGGCATGAGAAGGGGTGGGACTAGAGCATACTCTCCAGGTACTGCTAAGGCTAAAAAGAGTCTTCAGCTGAAACTCAGGGTGAGAGAGAAACTCCTTAGTAAGAGTGTGCATGTGGAAAATACATCTCGGCATGTATTCAGTTACTGGCTTGTTAATACATTGACTGGGGTTTTCAAAAGCACCGAAGTGGTTTTGACATTCAATTGGATTAGCATTGATTAATTACTTATGTTCTTTTTGAAAATTCTACCCATCTTCCTTAGCACCAAACTCCATCTTTTGCTGAGCATGCATGAATTAAATTGGTTTTTCCCTCATTGTCTGCCTTAGAGCAGAACTTTGTCTATAGAGGGTTATGTTAAAACTGATATTGGTGCATAAACCAAATTCTTACAAGTATTAGGGGGAGTAATTAGTCAGTAATTAGTCAGGTAACTTTAAAAGACTAATTTGGGAAGACATTGTTGCATTCTTACTTCTAAGAAGATATTGTCAAACAGTGTAGAAGGACCATGTGCTGGTGTACTGTCTTGATTTTGTTTTTTTATTTTTATTTTACTTCTGAAAGCTATTGGCATAAACTCTAAAGCATTCAGGGAGCAGAAAGGAAATGCAGTACATCTATAAAGTAAGGTTTATTGAACATATCTTACAAAGGATCTGTTTTCCATGCACATAAACATGATAGTTAAGAGTATCTGTTTCATCTGTTGGGAATTTTAGTTCATCACAACAGTCTCTAAAATGTTGTATTTTATAGATTATTTTACAGGCATCAATGCTTGTAACAGCTGTTCCCTGTCCTCTGCACAAAAAGAGCAATCTTTTTGTATATTTTTTATGAAGAACAGTGTGTTTTAACCAGATAACCTGATGGATAAAAAGGAAATTGTAAATTTCTTGTATTATTTCAAAGTGATCTTTCTATCTTAACCGTGTTTATCTATAGACCATTTTATTTGAAAAAGTGGTACTTGCTATAGGTTGTGTTGTTCAGGCTTCCACTGAGAGCTTTTATTGATCTGAGTCTTTTTATTTCTCCTCCCACACATGGATAAAATCCTACTTTTTGTGTCACTGAAGAAAGAATTGAATCAAAGATATTTCAGAATAGACCGACAGAGTTGGCATTGGTGTGACTCACTTCTTCATTTCACTTCTAAAACTTGTGGTTTGAAAATCTGCCAATTATGATACATCCACCCAGAGTCCAAAGACACAACAGCAGCTAAGGTTAAGAGCATCTGGTATAACTACAGATCAATTGTCAAATGCCTTCCTAACATTTGAAGACATGCTTTTGTTGATAAATAATTGCCAATGTAGGTAGCACACACTTGATTATATTGGCTCTTCCCCATTTAAGTGGGAACATAAAAGGAAACAGGCAGAAAAAAGAGATGTTATTACTAAACATGGTGGAGAAAAGTATAGTTTAAAAAAAAACCCAAAGTAAGTGATAGCATAAGCTTTTCAGTACATCTTTTTAGTTAAGAAAAGAAGGTATCTTTTTTCATGCTGCACATTCTGCTGTGAAAACCATTCAGTCTCAGAACTACGGTATAGGTTTAAATGAGTGGTAGCGATATTCATTACTCATGGTAGAGGTGATATCTTTTATTAGAGAAACTAGATTTTTGCAAAAACATTTTTTCTTTAATTGCAAGCTTTCGGGCACAAACCCTTCATCAGGCATAGGAGAAAAGATTGTAAAAGTTCTCTTGGGTAGAAATCAAAGTTTATATTTCATAGGAGAGTTAAAGGTGTGGTAAAATCTTCTGTTTAGAACAGTTCATTTTATGCAGGTTAGGCTCAGAGAAAAGTTAGAATAGTCTGTTTACCTCAAAGTTGTTTGGTGGCAAGCAGGATGTAGTCATATTTCCTTCTGGCTATGGTGTTTCATATTTCACAGAAGAGTAAAAAAGATGGAATGCTCTTCTGGGCAGGAATTTCTTATGTGTGGGCAGGGTGCTCCAATTGTGTCTACCCAGAGGAGTGTCCTGCCCATGTGGTGCCTGCCCAGTTTCCATGAAGACCACGGGATCTTGGGACAGTGACAGGGTGGAGCCAAGGCCAGGGTAGAGCCCCAGTTCTGCAGGATCTGTGCCCAGTGCATTGTGGCTCTGCCCTGGCCTCGAGCTGTCACCACCCCAAGATCCTGGGGTTTCCCTGGCCCCTCCTACCCACCCTGCTCCCAAACACTGCTCCTTGCCAGCCCTCAGCCCCATCCCAGCCATCTGGCTGATCGCCCTGCCTGCAAAGATCCTGCCTCTGGCAGTGGATGTGGGGCAGATGGGCCGGAGTGCCCGGGCAGCAGGGTGGGTCTGGTGGTAATGGTAGCTAGGAGCCACCGTTGCTGCCTGGGCTTCTGGAAAATGGAGTCCGGCAGCCGTGCTGCCCCAGCCCTGCTGTGCCTGGGCAAGCACTGCCCGTGCACCTGGGCTGGGTAGGAACCCTTCATGGGCCGGGTCCAGGCCGTGGACAGTATTTTGCCCATCCCTGAAGTAGATAGATAGTGGAGAGTGCCTTTTACAGACTTTCATCATAAGATCACTGTGTTAGGAGGTAGTGGAGATATAAATATCTTTAATTTTTTTAACCAGGCCAGCAATGGAAATTGTTTGGATTTCATTCCTGTATCACTGTTCTTGGTTGCAGCAAAGTAAAATTGATATTAGCCTTACCTAAGATAATATGTATAGATGGAAGCTAATATGATTAGATAAAAATATGCAAAGTCACTCATTGAATTTACCATCCTCCAAAAAACCATAAATTTTGATGAATTCTGGGACTTGGTCATTTTGTGGGTGGGGGGAGGGTTCCAGATGAGTGCTTTACTGTAAAAAGAACCAGTACACAAAATGTCTTCATGTTTTATTAATATATGCCATAAAAAGTAGGATTCTCATATAACTAAATGCAACTTAGTGAAAGGTCTGTGCTGCTTATAATGCAAGCCCAGGCTGCTTTAGAACATTAAACATAGGCAGCTTAATGTAGTTCTACAGTGCAAACACTGTAACTTAGTTTCGGATTATGAATTGCTCCCGTGTTCCTTCTGTGAATAAGATAACTTTTAGTATTTTTTTCCGTCAAAGAATCAAATTCCTTTTAGTGCTCCTCTGTACAGTTATTATAAAGAGCTTTTTTTCTGTTGTATAAAGTACTTGCTATTCAAAGTGAAACTATTAGAAGTATTCATCGAAGCTCATAACAGAGTAGATGAATGTCCTAGGATCTGCCACTTTGCCCATCGTTGTTCAGAAGACCAAGGAAGGAATTATTTATATGTTTCAAAAAATAAAACCTAGATGATGGTGATATGTCACACGATGCATATTTTAATGTCAGGGGAATATAATCTTAAAGGTTTTCTATTTGTGGTTTGTCTTAAACTTAATAAACAAATTAAATAAGTAATCAATGGAAATGGAACAAACTTCAGTAGTCTATCACTTACCCAAATCAAAAATTCTAAGTCTATAAAATATTTAATATTTTGAAGGAGTTGTGCTGCTACTATTGTATTGTATAAAGTATTTACAGCTTTATTCACAGCCATGTCTTCTGCTGTAAAGCATGTCCCTATTTACCAACATTCCTTGATCATAATTGGATTGATCTCAAAGAGACTAAAGCGGCTTTAAAAAAAAAAGGAAGAAAATGGGAGAATTCAAGTGTATCATGTATTCAGACATTTTAGTTGAAAATGAAATTACATTTTCTTCACTTAATTAGATTTAAGTTTTGTTTGAAAGACTTATGCTTACATGCATTTCTTGAGTGTCTGGTTTCCTTTG